GGGGGGGGGGGTTCCCCCCTAACATTTCAATTCAGGACAGATGTCGGGGGTTTACCAGGCTGGATCTGAGCTCGGCAACAACCTCCGCTCTAGAAAGAAGCCAGGCTCCAGGGCGGAGGCTCAGACTTGCTCTATCACGATTACAGTCTATTATTATTATTACTGTTCCCATCATTATGATTATGATTTCCTATTGTTATAATTACTGTTGGTGTTATTATCGCCTTTTCTCCCCCAGGAACGACGCTTCGCTTCCCGGCCAGACGCGCGGCAGGGAGACGTGTGTCCGCGGCGGTGATTCGCGCGCCGCGCGCTCGGTCACGGCCGCCGCGGGGAAGCAGCAGGAGGCGAGTGAGCGCGCTCGGCCCGCCGGCCCCGGGGAAGCGCCCGCGCGGCATGCAAACAAGCCATTAGGAGCTGGAGACGAGGGACAAATGATTTTTGTGCTCGACAAAGGCCGCGCTCGTTAAGGCTAACGAGAGGCTTCCTCGCCTGCCTGCCCCCTCCCCCCGTGCCCCGAGGAGCCGCCAAGTGCCTGCGCCAGGGGCCGGGCCCCCGCGAGCATCCCCCCGCGCAGGTGCGGGAGCGGCCCGAGCACACGCCGGCGAGCGGCCTCTTCCCTCTGCTACTTCGGCTCCTGGCACTGAGCGCCGGGGTCCTGCAGCCCTCGCGGCGCGCGGGGAGGTGAAGCCATGATGTGACAGGGGTCAGACAAGCCGGTCCCGTGTCCCCGCGTCCCCCCGGGGGCAGAGCCGCTGCCCCACTGCGCGATCCGGAGGCCGCCTCCCGCCCGTCCTCGGGGCCAGGCCGGGGCACCGCTGCATGCCACCGCGGCGGGGCGATCCGCGGGGACGCCGCGAGACGAGCCACCCGGTGCGGGACAGGTCTCACGGATGCGGGACCCTTCAACTAAGTCTCGGGTGGCGTCCGCGCAGCGAAGCGGCCCCTCGTGGGCCCCAGCGAACACGCGGGGTGGCGACACGGCTGAAATGCTGCGCCATGGAGCGGCCCGGGGTAACGTGCCCGGCGAGCTCCGGGAGAGCTTTGCGAGCCCTTCTGCCTCGGCCCCGACCAGCCCTGCTGGGGACCCTCCCTAGCTCCAGCCGCAGGCAGGCAGGCAGTCTAATTAGTATAATTAATGATCCCCCTTCCCAAGCCTCCCCCCAGCATAAAACAATTAATTCCCACGAAGTTGCACTAGCGCCTGAAAGGGAGCCTGCCTTTTAAGGTCGGCATTAGGGCGATTTTGCATGCACTTTAAGTGCTCGAATAATGATGTCAGTGCCTTCTGCCCGATCCCTCTAGGACAGATATAAAGGCAGAGAGTGAATGTATTCCAGGAAATCGCAGACACCACAGCAGAGAAATACTTTTTTCTCTCTCTTTAATGATCGCCAGGCTTGTAAGTCCCGTTAAACTTTACAATCCTCTACGCAGTAGGGCGGTATTGTCAGATCTTTCTTCGCGAGGTGATATAATTACACGATAATAATAATGATATTATAATGAGCTATATTGTCTATTATTATTATTAGATTGTTATTATTTTACAAGTCAGTCTTAGGGTTCCCAGAATAATTTAATGGCAAGAGCCTGATTCCCGACTCCCTTCTCAACTCGCCTGCGACCCCTCTCTGGGAAGTTGCTTAGTCGGACGCACTTGCGGGGGCTGTCGCGGACCCTTGGCGACTCCCCGCGGCACCCGGCCCTCGAGGGGCTGGCCGGCGGCGGCGGCGCAGAGCGGAGCCGCGCTCCCGGCCCCTCCGCCCTAAGTTACAAATGTAATCACGCGTTAAACAAACAATCAGTTGTCAGACGTCGTCAGAATGAAATTGGAATAACAAATGAAACTCAAGCAAATTGTGCTGCATCGTGTTGCTAAGCGATTGTTTGTTACTACAGCATAGTCACAGCATGGGCTGAAACACACATCTAAAGAGGAGTACAGTAACGGGCAGACCAAGCTGTTAGATCTGAAATAAAGTAAACACTGCATTGATTTTCAATATTATTACCCAAACACGATTTCCTACAAAGCAATCACCATGCAGAAGTCTGGGGGAAAGCGCTTGTTGAGAAGGCGGTCATTTTTTATAATATTCCTCATTTTAACATATTAAAGAATAGATCATCGGATTTAAAATGCATCGAATTTCCTGCGTCGGGTTGATCAAGGCGCTTTTGGGGTTACAGGAGCAGCAGCGCGGGCGCACCGGAGCGAGCGGCTGCTAAATCGCCTTTGCCATTTACGCACAAATAACCCAAGTCCCCCCCACCCCCTTTACCCTCTCTCCCGGCTCGCGGTTGCTCCCAGCACTAAAAGAAAAGGGTTCTCCTTTCCTTCCTCCCTGACTTATTTCAATGACGCCTCCCAAATCCGCCAGTGCATTGTATAATTACGCCAATGATCTCCATGCCCGAGTCCCACTGGAGCGCGGAGCGATGTCAAATGCATTTGCTGTGTTCTGTGTTTAGGGACTTGATCGTCTTTATTTTCGAGTGCCATAGAGGGGTCACTTGGCATTTACTTTTAAAAAGGATGAGCCGCGTCCTCTGCAAAGCCCTGCGCCTGTTAGGAGTCCGGCGCTGGACTGTGCAAACACAGTCGTTCCTTTCAAGCAACGAGCCGTGTGATGTGCGTGAGAACAGCGCCCGGCAGGTATCGCACTCGTGAACACATCCCCACTCGCAGCCCCCGGGGACCGGGGACCGCGTCCCGAAGTGCCGGCTCTCTCTCGTACTGCTGGAGGGGAGGAGAACCAGTATGTTGGGCGTTAGGAAGAGACACGACCCAAAGAAATTAATGGGACAAGTCTATTCGCAGTCACACCAGTTTATATCTGGAGAAACGTCATTGTTTTCAGTAGAATCGCTCCAGATTTACACTGGTGCAGCTGAGCAGGTGTATAACAGAGAGATTAGAATACAGAAGTGGGGGGGAGTGTAAATTAATGCTATCTTAATTAGGAAGAAAAACGCGCTTCGGAGCTAATTGTGTTTATGCTGCCTGTTTTCAATGCTTAACAACAGTACAAGCAGAAGTTAAGTTTTGATTAAATGTGAAACTTGGTTCAAATCAGTTTAATGATCTTACACGCACACGATACAGATATGCATCAACTCACCAGCGCGAACTAAGTATCACATTCAAAACACACACACACACACACACACACACACACACACTGTATTTAGAATGTGATACTTCATTCACAGATCGGTGCAATAATCCACACCCATATACAGCCTCTCTGTATGTTGCTACAATGTGATACTTAGTTTAGATCGGTGCAATGAGACAGAGAGAGAAATGCACACAAAGGTGTTCCCTGCAGAATGCCGAGGTAAAGAAATGGAGAGAAAGCAAAACACGAGTTTTAACTTTAACACTTTGAAATAAAGCTCTTTCCACATCTTCCAAAATAACTGCTTGCCAATCTTGCTATCACCCTTATTCAGACATCAGATTTCCCAAAGTTTGTTTCAAAATGATTGCATCATTACTTGAAAAAAAATCATATAATGCAAAATTATGGTAATTTGTTCCCAGAATAAATTTATCTTGAACTGATTAGCAAAGTCAGTCATTTGAAAACGAGGCAAAAATTCTAAGGCTGTTCCTAAAGCTTCCCTCTAACAATATCAGCTTCTAAAGTTTTCATTCATATAAACCTTATTAATGAAGATCTTTTATTTAAATGTCAAGGGGATTTGAAATATAGAGTAAATTATGAAGCTTGCATGTCTTGCCAAGTCATGGGTCAAATGCATTTGTGAAAAACTGCTAAAAGAGCATATGGTTTTGAATTTTTCTACAATGACTAGTGTTTAAATAAATTGCTTGTACTGCTTAACTTCATGTATAATTTTGACAGAAATTGGCCTATAGCCTTTTGATATGTAAACATTTCAGGCTTTTATGCGGTATAAAAAGACACTTGCTTTTTGGGATCAGCTAAAGCAGTCACCCTGTAATTCAGAAAACTGGCACCTAACATTACGTTCTTGCTACATTTCAACTTTCAAGTGGCAGCATAAAGAAAGAGACAGAGGACATTTCAAAAGCAATGTCCATTTGGAATTAAAAAATACAAATGAGGTGAGAATGTGCCACTTACTACCTGATTGAAATGGCTAAAACATAGCATTAAGTGAATTCTCCTTTTCTAAAAACAACAACAACAGACAAGTCAGTGAAGATGCACTTAAGCACAGCACATAACTAACCGTCTTGCATGTCAAATGTGTGTCTTACAACAAAATCAGTCAGGAGAAAGGACAAATTATTGTTCCAAAAAAATCTACATCTCATTTCAAAAAAATATTTCCTTATATTGTTCCTCTGATTCAGGAACAATGATTTTTTGTGGGTGATATCTTTTACTGAACTAACTGCATGGCTTGAAATGCAAGGCTTGATGCAAATGAGACCTGGGTTGTATGGCTGGAATGTAGTGTTAAACTCTGTCATTTACATACTGCAATGACCTTCTAATGATTTTAATTCCACAAACAAATTCTTTTAAACTGTGCTTAGCTGCTTAGTCACTTGCATGAAGCCAAATCCCTAAACTGCTCTTGCAGCTTTTATTCAGGCAGAACTTCCATTGACTTCTACACAAATTTGCCTTGAGAATTAACTGGATAATAACATCCAAGTAAGAGCTTCAGATTCTGGAA